GCCGGCCAGCGCAGTTCAGACATCCGGAGCAGGCACCGCACCGGGCAAACCCTGCGCCCCTCCCTCGGGTGCACTGGAGCGCTGGTCACAGCGCCCGGCTTCGTCCCACCCTCATCTGTGAGGCGACACTCACCGCGCCAGGCCCCACGTGGGAGACAGGCGGGATCCGGATGGCTCAGCTGCCTCTTCCAGGTGAAGAGGAAGAGCACATTGCGGGTACTGCCTGTTTGGTCCTGGGGTTTGAATCCGGGGCCTTCGCATCAAGCTGCCTCCCCAGCCACTTATATACGCATATATCACGAGTATACGTGTACCATAAATACAGCGTGTGTCAGGCATATGTATGTGCCATGAATGTGTATCGTGTACCTGTGTGTCATGTGTGCTGTATCTGAAAGCATGCATGTGCCGTGTGTATATGTGTGCATGTGTTGTGCCTTTCATGTATATATGCAGTATCATGTATGTGTGTGTTGTGCATGTGTGTCCTGTGTATATGTGCGTACCCTGTGCACATGCATGTAATATGTATATTGTGTCGTGGGCATATGTGTGTCTCATGTGTGCATTGTGTACGTGTATCATGTATATGTGCACATATCATGTTACCGTGTCATATATACATACATGGATCGCGTCCTATCTGGGCTCAATCATGCAACAGCAGCTAGCAGGGTTGCAGGGGCTGCAGGGTCCGAGCAGCTTCACTCCTAGACCTGGAGTTGGTCCCTGGCTGTGGGACGTGCAGGACCAGGGGTCACCGAGCTGCAGCTGCTGGGAGAAGAGCTTTGGCCAAAGGATGCAGTGAGTGTATTCGCCACCAAAATCTTCCAGGAGTGCAGTCCTGCCCACATTGTCATCCTAGCCAGCTGAGGCACCTTTTGGGCTTCCAGTCCCTAACCTGCAAGGAATCACGTTTGTGCTCATCTGTTCCAGCAGCATGAGGAAGCTTTCTCCCCTCCCACTCTCATTCCCTGGAGCAGGAGCCAGCAAACCATGGCCCCTGGCCTGACTTGGTTAATAAAGTTTTATTGGAATGTAGCCCTGCCTTCCTTTACTGAGAGTCCTTGTGACAGCGGCCATCTGCACTTTCTCCCTCTCCACTGACTTCCCATGGGGCTCCTCTGAGCTGTGAGAGGGTGCCTGATGGTCCTGCCTATAACATCACCCTGCCCTATCACCTGCACCCTGGCAAGAGTCAGCAGGATCTGAGACAGCCCAGAGCAGAGCCTAGGAACCAGTCCCCACTCATGGAGTCATACAACAAATGTTTCTTGTGCACCTACTGTGTGCCAGCCTCTAAAATGTGGTGTCAGGGACAGTCAGGTCAACAACAGTCTGCTTTAGGAGAGTGCAGTGTGGGGTAGGGGCAGCTCTGGAGGCCAAGCACCTCTCCTAAGTCTTCTGCCGTGCTGCCACCATAATGGGAGAGAGTGAGTTCACCATTGCTTCCAGAGGCTTCCTGGCTGGCCTTTCTGAGGAGGAGGATGTTGAAGTCTTGGGGACAGATTCTCCAGGCAGAGACAGACCCAGGCCGGTGGGACAGTCTGACTGAAGCCTGGGTTGCTGCAGCTCCATACGCAACAACCTCAGGGCAGAGCCCCAGTGCTGGGAGGGCTGGGTCGAAGCTGGCATTTCTATCATCTCAGATTGGAGCCCAGCCCAGGTGGCTGGGCCAGCAGGAAGAGCTGGAGACCTCATTTGGGCAGACCCTTGATTTCCTGCTCTGGAAAGTGGCCTCGGGGCAGCTGCTGGGAGTTATGAGCCATCCTGGAGGGGTTTACACACCCTCAGCCCCAAGGAGACAGCTGGCTTAACCCAGCAAGAGGGTCCCTGAGTGGCAAGACACCTGGCAGGGCCACCCGCTGGTGCTGTGGGAGTGTGGACCACCTGGGGTCCCCACACCTTCCCTTTGAGGACTCGAGGCAGAAGTATCCCTGCAGAGGCTCCCCTGCCACCTTGCCAGCCCTGGCTCCATGCTCCCAGATCAGTTGTGTCCCTCAGTGGGTTCTGCCTGCCGAGGCTGAGTGGGTCTAGAAGGCCAGGTCACTCAGCACAGATGCCACCACCCTACACCAGTGTTCCCAGGCTCCTCAGCCCTGTGATTGCCCAGCCACAAGAGCTCCACTCCAGCCCGCTCCCTATGCTTCTGATCATCTGTGTGACTCCCTGTGATAGACCCCATAAGTGGGGCCCTGAGGGATCTAGAGAGGGTGAGTGGCCTGGCCACAGCCCCAGGCTGGAAGCAAAGAAAGAATAAAGGAAAGAATCACTTGCAGCTGCTGCCATTACTTGTTGCTGCTTTGCTGCTTCCATGCTACTTTGCTGCCTTCTGCTCACCATGAACTGTTTCTCCTCTGCGATGCCCCTCTGCCATGCCACCCTGCCTTGGAGCCAGCCAACTATGAACTGAAACCTCTATAAATTCTAAATCTTGGAAACAGCCAAAATGTTCGTTAACAGGATGAACGGATAACAAAGTGTTTTTGTTTACACACAAGGAAATACTACTCTGCCATAAAGAAGGATGAACCAGAGAAATTTCTAGGTAAAATGGATGTACCTTGACACTCTACTCTTAAGTGAAATAAAGTGGACACACATGCATTCTCTGATGTGAGAAACCAAAAGTGAAAATAAGGACCAAACGTAGGATAGGTATTGGGAAATAGGAAGAAAATGTTCAGATGGGAAGTGGAACGGGAGTACGGCAGAGGGAAAGGAAGGAAGGGAGGGAAAAGAAAAAAGAATAGAAGAAAAAAATGAAAGCAAAGTTTTTGTAAATAAGGGGAAGAAGTGTTGAAGGGAGGGGAGGGGATTGGGAAAAAAAGAAGAATCAAGATATATTATGTACAGGTACACATTCCCTATGGTGAATATTACCAATATGTGTATCTAAAATGTACCTATAAAATTAACTAAAAACAAAGAATGAAGGAAAGGAAGTGTGTTCAGAAGCTTTCCATTACTATAACAAACACCTGCAATAGCTAACATAATGGAGGAAAGGTTTCGTTTGGCTCATGGGGCTTGTGGTTTCCAAGGTACCAGTCCATGGTAACAGCCCCATCGCTCTGAGCATAGACAGTTTATTCATCACTTTCCCATCACTGGAACACAATAGCCCGACACCAACTACTCAGAGGAGGAGAGGTTAATTTCAGCTCACAGATTCAGTCAGTGGTCGGCTGGCTCCAAGGCAGAACAGTGTGGTGGAAGGGTCTGGCGGACGACAGCTGCTCACCTCATGGCAGCCAGGAAGCAGAGTGAAGTAGGAGGGCCTGGGGCCACAAATACACCCTTCCTGGTCAGGCTCTTTCTGACCCAGCTCCAAGCAGCCCCACCTCTAACAGCACACTCAGCTATGAACTCATGGGTTCACTGATCCGTTGTTCAGTACTGTGTCACTCTGATCCAATCCCCTTCCAAACAGGAGGCTTTTGGAGGCCTAGATCTGAAGCATGGAGGACGACAGAGTACATCATCGTGGGAGCGTGGGGAAGAGGCCTCTTCACCTCAGGCAGCGGGAAGTCTTCTGCGATGCACCTCGTAACCTAACTTCCTCCCTTCTGCAGAATAAAAGAGTCACCATTTAAACTAAAATAGTGGTGCCCAGCTCAGCGTAACACCAGAATTACCAGAGTTAAAAAGCACACTAAGGCTCATCCATTCCCAGAGCCACAGGTTTAACTGATCCAGAGAGGGAGATTGATTTTGAATGAGTCAAGGTTCTTGGGGGACACAGAACCCAGTGGGTGTGAGGCAGGGGACAGAAAGATGAGAAAGAGAGAGCCTGACAGGGTAGGGGGTGGGCTCACACAGCTTGAAGGCTGGCGGGACCCATGGGATAGAGTGAGCTTCCCCTCACCACAACATAGAAGATAATAAGAGTGGAGTGAGTTTTCCTTCCAGCTTTAAAAGATTCTTTATCTGGAATTGTATCCTTTCTGTTAAAAGAAACTTTAAAAGATTCTTTATCTGGAATTGTATCCTTTCTGTTTCAGAGCAGCTAGAGTCTTTTTTCTTTCTGTCTTTTTTTTTTTTTTTTTTTTTTTTTTAAACCAGGAATCAAACTCCAGACCTTGTACTTGCCAGGCAGGCGCAGTTCCACTGAGCTACATTCCTTTTTCTTCAATGAATAGTGGTGGTACCTTCCTTTAAAAAAAAAACAAGAAAAGAAAAAAGTCTGCTGATTGCTTTCCAGCCTTTCAGCAAAGATCAAATGTAAAAGCTATCTGCTATAGAGTGGACCTTGACGGCCCTGAAGGGCTGCATGTTAAAGGCTAGTTCCCTACAGATTGGACTCTGTCTTTGCATGAAATCGAGTGCCCTCCCCATGTAGGCAACTGGGGTGGTAGAACTTTTGAGAGGTGAGGCCTGGTAGGAGATATGCAGGTCATGGGGACAAGGCCTTGAAAGGAATTGTGGGACCGGACCCCTCCCCTTGATTTTTTTCCTGGACAGTAAGTGAGCAGTTTAGCTCTGCCACGTGTTCCTGTGTACCGTGCTGCCTTGACACAGGCCCAAAGCAACAGAATCAACTGGTGTGGGCTGGAATCTCCAAATTCACTAGTATTTATACCCCACCCCCTAGTCAGGATCAAACCGAGGGCCTTGTGCATATGAGGCGAGGGCTCAACCCCCAGTCCAACTTTTCTCTTCATAAGCTGATTGTATTAGCTATTTGTCTAAATAGAGTGATGGAGAGCTAATACATTAACCTTTCTACCTAAACAAAAATTCAGCAATATGTTTTCTGGTTCATGACATCTGGACTTCTGTAAGCCTAGGCCTTTGCTGTCCAGTGTGTAGCCATCAGCCACGGGGGCTGTGAAGCCTTGAAATATGGTGTTCAAGTCACATTATTCTGAAGATGCTAATATATACTAGGTTTTAAAGACTTACTATAATGAAAGAATACAAATTTTCTCATTATTTTTGTATTTATTTTGTATTGAAATTTAATATTTTATATGTACTGTGTTAAATAAATTAAATATATCATTAAAATTTACCTTCCTTTTTTCCCTGTATTTAAAAAAAATATGGCTACTGGACAATTTAAAGTCATGCATGCTCATCTCTGTGGTTCATATTCAGCTTCTGTGGGACAGTCCTGGGCAGCCTGACTACTCAGCCTTGACCCCACCTGGATGAGAACACAAGCTGACACCTTCTCCTCACCTGCAAGTCCTTCCTCAGGGCAGGTAGTGACTGCATCAATTAGGCTTGCATTGCATAGCAAACTGCCCCTTAAGTGAGTGGCTTCAGCAACAAATATTTATTTAGCTAATGATTCTGTGAGTCAGCAAAAGGACGGTGTTCAGCTGTGCAGTTCTTGTGTTGAGTTCAACTGGTCACGCTTGATGTCAGGGGTCAGTTAGGTGGTTCCACTTCAGGGGGTTTGCTGGCTGTTGCTAGGGTGACAGAGCACCTGGGCTGGTGCTAGTGCCCTCCCCCATCATCCATCAGGCTCAGGATTATTCACACAGTGGCATCAGGGTTCCAAAGACAAGAAAATGGAAGCTGCCAGAACCTTTGGGGTTCTGGCTTAAAGCTCATGCATGGTCACTTCTACCACCTCTAATTTCCAGGGTAAGTTGGAAGCCCCCTTGGATGCAAAGTTGGGTAGATAGATCCTGCCCCTTTCATGAGAAGTGTTGCAAAGAATTGTGGCTCCTTTGCAATCCATTTATACCCCCTAAGTGCCCCTTATCATCTCCTTCAAAGACAGCCCCTTCCTTTTGCTCTGTCTGTTCTTTGTCATGCCCTCACGAATCTCATGGGCCCTGGCTGTCTTGTCCTTGTGGGCCTCTTCCTGCAAATATCATATGTTGGAATCTGAGCCCAATGTGACCACATGAAGAGGGACTTTATGAGGTGATTAAGTGTTTAGGGCTCCACACTCACAAGAGAATTTGGAACCTTTACAAAAGGACTAGAGGAAACCAGTGCAGGTCCTTCTGCCCTCCCATCATCCACGGTGTGAGAATACAGTGTTCTTCCCTCCAAGGCACCATCAACAAAACACCATCTTGGAAGAGAGTTCAGCCCTTTCACCAGACACCAAATCTGTTAGTACCTTGATCTTGGCCTCCCCACCTCAAAGGCCATGAGGAATGAATTTTTGTTCCTTATATATTACCCAGTGTAAGATATTTTCCTATGGCAGTGAGACAAGCCCCTTCCTCCAAAAACTAAAATATGAACAATATTTTAGCCAGGTGCAGTGGTGCACACTTGTAATCCCAGCACCTGAGAGGCTGAAGAAAGAGGATCACAAGTTTGAGCCCAGCCCTGGCAACTTAATGACTTAGTGAGATCCTGCCTCAAAATTCTAAAAAGGCCTAGGGATATACCCCAGAGCTGAGCCCCAGAAAGCTCTCCCAGGGCACCGCTGAGGGCCGGGTTCCTCCCAAGCCCAGGACCAGGCCAGCCCGGGACTCCAGGGGGATGTCAGCCTAGGGCACCAGTCGGGCCGTGTGCATCCCCAGGTTTGGGGAAACAGCAGAGCAGAGGCCGCTGCTCTGCCAAGTGTGCTGCCAGCAGTCTGGGAGAAGAGGTGCCACCTGCGGCTGGGACCCCCCCCCCGGGAAGATGTTGGAGAAAAGGGTGGCACCAAGGACTGCCTTTCCCATCCCACATCCCATGCAGTGTACTTTTTTTTTTTTTTAACTTTTAAAAGCTGGAGATTTTAGGCAGGTGTGGTGATGCACAACTATAATCTCAGTACTTATGGGGCTGAGGCAGGGGGATATTCGGGAGTTCAAGGCCAGTCTGGGTTACACAGTGAGTTTAAGACCAGTAAGACCCTGTCAAAAACAACAAAGCAAACAAAAAACAGAATTGGAAATGTTATCCTCCACACGACTTTTTTTTATATATTCTGTTGTTTGACTCTCCCTGAGTCTCCTTGCTTCAGGTTTTGACTTCTTTTTTTCTTTCCTGTAAACCTGACAGTGTTGTCTATTGTCCTTTAAGTGGCCAGCAGTTCTAACATTTGCCCCAGGCATTGAACACAGTGGCTGGGCTCCTTCTGCCTGCTCAGCCCTCTGGGGTGCAAGCGTGAGCCTCAGCTTCACTCCAATTGGCCCATTCACCAATGCCCAGAGCAAGTTCTCTGGTCCACAGCTTTTACTGATCCCTGCATCCCGATGACTCTCACCAATCTGGTAGCACAATTTGACCGATTGCAATTATCTTGGGGAAGGCTAAATTAATGTGAATACATATTTTAGAAACATGAATTTTCCCATGTAGTAGTCTGTTTTTAATTTATTATAACCAAATGCCGAAGACAGGCTAGCTTTATAAAGCGAGTCCCTGGTGTCGCCTGAAGGCCATGGGGACAGCACAGCTCCCTCTCTGGGCCCCACCCTGGCATGGGGGACATTGGTCAGCCAGGTGTGGGCCTTTCTTTTCTAATGCTGAGCCTGAACCCAAGGATTTAGCACTGAGCTACGTCCCCAGCCCTTGTTTAATTTTGAAACAGAGCCTCACCAAGTTGCTGCATTGCCCAGGCTGGCTCCAACTAGTGATCCTCCTGCCTCAGCCTCAGTACCAAAGCAGAATGCTGGGGTCACAGGTGTGCACCCCCACACTTCTGAAGGCAGCAGCACCCCAAACTGTCTGGGCCCTTGGCTCCCTTTTTTAAAGGTCCACACCAATTCCATCACTGTGGGGACCACATCCAGACCACAGTGCCCATCTTAGTCCTGGTCCCTTCCATGCATCCCCACCAGGTCTAGGCTTGTTGCTGTCCACGCCCCGTGGAGCTCAGAAGGTAGCCCAGGGCTGGCCACTGTCGCCAGCAGGGCTTGGCCCAGTCCCACTGTGCATTGCCCAGGCCACCCTTCGTTGGGGGCACAGCTGGTGAGGGGAGGCAACAGAGCCTGGGTGGCACTGAGTCCAGCTGTCCCGGAACTGCACCAGGGGACTTCGGGGTCCCCAGCCCTGTCCCAGTAACCATCTCTCAGGGAGAGGTTCAGGTGTCATGGGGAGCCCTGCTGATGTTGCCTGCTTTCACACAGGATGCTGTGTAGCCTGCTGTCTCCTGCTGGCCGACGCCGCTCCGAGCAAACACAGGAAAAGCCCTGCCTGGTCCTGCTGGCCACTTCCCCTCCTCACAGAGCTCCCACATGGGGCATCATCAGCCTTGAGGAGACAGAGGTGAGGCAGACTCACGTGAGGGCCTGGGAGTGGCAGGGACCCGGGATGGGGGGCCGGGGCCCCAAGGAGCGTCTTCGTGTCCGTGCCGGAGTGCATGGAGGTGGAAGGGTCCTCCGGGAAACCTGGAAGTGGAAAGGCTTTGTTCCCAGCCCTGAAAGAGTCCCCCAGGATCCACTAGGAAGATTGAGGTGCTCAAGGAAACCCGTGTAACTTCATCAAATATCACGCATTTTTTGTTTGTTTTTTGAGACAGGGTCTCATTACGTAGTTCAAGCTGGCCTTGAACTCACTATGTAGCCCAGGCTGGCCTGGCAATCCTCCTGTCTCAGCCTCCCAGAGTGTTGGGATTATAGACGTGCACCACCACACCTGACTAAACACAATATTCTGAATTAAAAAGTTAAGAAGACCACAGATAAATACAAAGAATTCAACATCTTTTCTTTCTTCTTTTGCTTTCTTTCCTAATACTCTAACGAGTGCAAGGCTGATGACTGATCTGCTCCAGCTCCTCTGCATGCCTGGCCCTCCGCTGCTGGTTCAGGCCACACTCTAGACGTCTTTTCAGACCTATTCCGGGGCTGAGGAAAGTCTCACAAAACCAACCAGCCCGGGGAAAACATTTCTCACGCACTTGTCCATAGCCACCCAGGCCGCACATGGGTAGGAGTCTGAAGTGCGTGACGTGGTCTCAGCACACCTTCACTCCCCTGAGGCTGGGCTCGGGAAGTATTTCGGTAGCAATACCAGCATCTCCACGGCACTAGCACTGCCCAAGCTCCAGTCATCCACAGTCCCCCATCAGAGGCTTTGCCATTCCCATTTCTGCCCTGTATAACGTGCCCAGTTTAGAGCAACTCGCACCCAAATTCCCTTCCCACAACAAAAACCTTCAAACTAGAAGGACAATGTTCCAGGTACAACCATATATTTTGTGTATCCTAATTCAAGGATGTTCCTAATTCGAGGATGCTTTGTCTTGTCCTCCATGAGCCTTGTTTACATTCATTTCCATAGAAAGCACACATGTCCTTTACCCCAAATGATTGCCAATAAAGGTCAGTGCCTGGGACTGGCCAGGCCTTTGTGGGTTGCCCTGGCCTGGGTCATCCTGGCCCCGCTGTCTCCTGGCTCTGTCTCTATGCGTGTTCTTCCCTCAGGCCTGCGATGCACCCTGGGTGGTGGTGACTGGCGCCTGTTCAAAGTGATAGTTGTCAGACACAGTTTGGTTTTATTGAACGCGCCTCTGCTCCACGGAACCGCTGCAGAGCTGGGTGAGGGTGAGGTCCCCAGCCTGAGCCAGGACGCGGGGCAGGGCAGGCCGGCCTGACCAGCCCTTCTTTGGCCTCCACAGAGGTGTCGCTGGGAGGTGTGCAGGGAGTCAGGCGCCAAGGTTAGGAAGCGCGAGGACCCAGGGAGACAGGAGCTTGGCAACATCAGCTTCCCAAGGCCTTGTCCACAGGGAGGGAGCCACAGCGAGCCGAGAGGAGGGGCTCTCAGGGTGGTGGTCTCCTCACCAGGCTCCTGCATGCCAGCTGTCCCCACAGTACACGCGCAAGGCAGGTGCAGGCCTGTTGGGGAGCTGGGCTTTCCGGGGTCTAGAGGAGGACGGTGGCGAGGCTGCACTCCTCCAGGAGCCCGAGGCTGAGTGCACCTCTGTGAGGCCTAGGCCTCAGGGGCTCCCACACTGCCCTCCACCGAAGCCCCCCTGGATTCCAGAACTAAACTGCAGGAGCTGTGAGGAGCTAGATTCTGGGCTGGGTACTGGACAGACAGATACAGTGCAGCTGGCCCAAGAAAGTTCTGGAAGGTAGAGAGAGGCTCTGGAGTAATCGAGGCCCACCTGGAGTCTGAGGCCCACCCCAGGGCAGAGGGCAAACAAGCATCCACAGGGCTCTGGAGGCCATGTGCCCCACACGAGTGGGCTCTCTAGTGGTGTGTATTGTTATTAATAATATTGTTATTATCACTGCCATGCAGGGGATTGAACCCAGGGCCTTTACCCAGAACATCTTCAGACCTATTTTTTATTTTCAGACAGAGTCTCTCTAGGGCTGGGCTCAAACTTTTGTTCCTCT